AAAAAAGATTTATTCAAAGCTAGGTCCAAGGAAATATAGCTATCAATAAGGAACAGAGTGGTGATGGTGAGATTTGGCACAGAGACAATGTGTATCTCCAAATCTGCTTTATCACTTGTAGCCATTTTTGATTCATTCCTTTTTCTAATAGAATGGAATCAGTGTTCCCACCTCCTGGGACAGGCATCTACATATTCTGTCACTTCTTTTAGGGGAGGAACTTTTGCTTAGGTGCTCAGCAGAAAGAACTCAAGAAATTGTATCTCTACAAGAAAAAGCAAATCCAACTTTTAAAGTTCTGCTTTGCAGTGGGTTTCACGACGTTTAAATTCATTTGTTAAGAGACAGCCAAGATCTCTCTCTCTCTCTCTCTCTCTCTCTCTCTCTCTCTCTCTCTCTCTCTCTCTCTCTGTAGTTCAGGCTGGCACTGTTGTTGCCCAGTTGACCTTTAAATTACACAATATTTCTGCTTCAGCCTCCCAAGTGCTGGAATTACAGGCATGAATGGAGTTTCTATTTTTAGTTTGCTGAGGAATCTCTAGACTGATTTCCATAGTGGTTATACTATTTTACATTCTCCTAACAATGTTGAAGGGTTCCTTTTTCCCCACTTTTTTTTAGTTCATGATGATAGTTACCCTTTTTGGGATAAGAAGAAATCTCAGTGTTGTTTTGACTTACATTTTTTAAGTGACAAAAATGTTTAACATTCCTTTGTGAAGTTGAAGCAGAATCGTGGAGAGTTCCTTACCAGCCTGCGCTACAAAGTGAGCTCAAGGCCAGCCTGAACTGCATAACGAGACCCTGTCTCTTTTTTTCATGTACTTGTCCATTATAATTCTTCTGAGAAGTGTCTATTCATTTTAATTCATTTTTTTGATTAGGTATTTTACTTTTTCAGGATTTAACTTTTTGTGTCCTTTTTAAAAATGACTTTATTTTCACAATGAATTTTATTTTCAAATTTTTATTTCTATTAGTACAGGTTTACATCCATGATTAGAAAGAAAGTACATAGATTTCCATATGCCACCTACTAGCACCAGCTCCCCTACTGTCAACATCCTGCACCAGGGTGGTACATTTGTTATACTACACTTGATCTTTACCAAAAGGCTGAGAACTGATGGTATATTTGTTACAATCTGTGAAGCTACATTACTGACCCACCATCATCATTCCAAATACATATTCTTCACTCTTTGATTGTACATTCTGTGGACCTTGACAAATATTTAATGGCATGGATCTACCATGGTAGTACCATACAGAATAATTTCACTAACACGTCTTTTGTTTTTCTGGCTTCACGATGCCTACTTTCAAACAGGAAATGTTAGGCCCTTGTGATGTGTGAAGATTACATCCTAAGGCTTTTGTGGATCACGGGAATTATAAATACCACTACTGTTATCATTTGTCATTACAAGTATAAAAGATTTCACTGAAATGTTTAAGAAAATCTTTCAGACTCTTAATAAGTTTAAATATAAGACTGATTTAAAGCAGTTTTTAAATCACTGTTTTCTTAGATCTTAAGAGTTTCTTTTGGGAATCAGTTTTAACAAAGAAAGCATATGTACCACTTCATGTACATTAATATAAATGTTTAATTGACATGCACATTCCAGGTAGAGGTGGAACTGAAGCACTAGACAGATAAACACTTAACCACAGCAGTTTCTGGCCCATGAACTTCTAAGTTGCTGCAAAAGGCCATGAACCTTTAAGGACATTATTTCAAATATGGTACTGAAATGTTAAATATCTATAAAATCCAGATGGTAGCTAGGTATACACTGGTTGCTCCAATGCCTTAGCCAGTACCCAGGTGTCCTGAGACCCCTGTGTGATACTGTTTCAGAGCTGTTACCTAAGTATCTCACCTTGCTACGGCAAACAGAAACTGAAATATCATCCAGGGCTTGGAGGTAGATTTGTTTACATCGACAGGCACTGAACTGAAAAAAAAAAGTCAAGCCCCAAAGGATCAGGCAGGGAGATTTTTATGGGTTTTGCAAGCAAGAAGGGAGGGTACTTGGCTGTCTCTGATTGGCTCTTACAATATGCATCACGGTGATCAGCCATTTCTTTCTTTTTTTCTGGAACTGGGGATTGAACTCAGGCCCTTGCGCTTGCCAGGGAAGTGCTTATTCCACTGAGCCATCTCCCTGGTCCCAAGACCAGCCATTTCTAAGAGACAGAAATGACAGGAACTGTAACAGAAACTGTCACCTGGGCAACTAATAAAAACTGAAGTATACTGGCTGGGGCGGAGGGGAGCATTTTCTGCTACAACTTTAACTGTGGTGGCTAGATACCAGTCCTCTGTCCAAGAAATGCCTGCAAGGTTTTCCATTTTTTAGGTTATCTCTTCACTCCATTGTTTATGGTACGAAGCTTACTAATTTGATGTAATTCCATTTATTGTTCTTGGTGTTATTTCTTGGGCATCTGGGTTCTGTTCAGAAAGTCTTTGCCTATACTTACATCAAGAATTTTAGGGCTGGCCAGATAGCTTAGCAGATTAAAGTGCCTGCAAGCAGGTGCAGTGGCCTGGGATTCGATCCCCGCACCTGCTGAGCTGGCCCTACCCCCGGGGCATGCTGAGATGGCGATTGAGACTGTGCATGGTGGCTTATACCTATAATCCCAGCTCTTGGGAAGCTGTAAACAGGTGGATCACTATGAGTCCGATCTAGTAGTGAGACCCTGAATACCCTGTAGACCCTTCCGTAAAAAAAAAAAAAAAAGTCAGCAGATTTAGTGTTTGTTTTAATATCTAGGTCTTTGATTTATTTTATTTATTTAGTATACAGTGAGATGCAGATATAGATTCATTCTTCTGCATGTGGATAGTCAGTTTTTGTTTTTTTCCTTTTTTCTTTTTAGGCCAGCACCATTTATTAAAGAGGATACCTTTATTCTTATTTTTGTCTTTTTAAGACGGTCTTGCTACGTAGTTCAGCCTGGCCTTGAGTTCACTGCTGCCCAGGCTGGTCTCCAACTCACATTGAGCCTCCTGAGTGCTGGGATTATAGCTGCATGCCTGGCAGGAAGACTGTGAATCATACTAATGGAGAAACCAAGCCACAGCTGCAGCCTGGCAGTCTGATCCTATGGGGAGGAACAGTGGGCCTTAGAACACAATGCTGGGCCTGAGGATGGGGCAGGGGATCGCATTACTTTACTTCTCCACTTCCAGTGGCCTGAGGAAGGATGTGTGGAAGCCACAGTTGCTCTAATGCAGTCAAGGCAAGCAGCTTTCCTGGGCTCTCCTGCTTTAGCACCAACTCCACTTTTCCTTTCTCTCTGTGCTGCCATGGGGGACTTCCAACACTCACCATTGTAACAGGAGCCTTTCCTGGCACTCCTTCCTCTCTGTCTCTGAATTCCCACCCTGGACTTGCAGGTGGCAAGACCCTGTGTGGCTTCCCTGCTGCTTTAGGGGGTACTGTTAACAAGGTTGTCCCAGGAAATTTAGTGTAGTCCAACCTTCTCCTCAGGGCCAGCTTCCTGGGTTTCATGGGGACAATATTCAAACCTGGGATAGTGAGAATACATTTTCTTTGGGTTTACACAGAGCGGGGCCCTGAACCCAGCTTCTGCACAGAGAAGCTCTGTAGGTTTTTTTTTTTTTTTGGCGGAAACAGGGATTGAACCCAGGCCCTTGTGCTTGCCAGGGGAACGCTTATTCCACTGAGCCATCTCCCCAGCCCTATGAGCGAGGTTCTTTTCTGTACAACAGGGATACCAAAATTTATCTAGCTGGGTGGCTGCTGAATGATCTATGGCAAAAGCATACACTGACTTCTCAATCTGTCTCTTCTTTTTCACCAGGTTATAATAAGCATATGTGAGAGGGACTTTGTCATCTACAAAGCTCTGGGTTTTACTAATTAAAAAAACCAAATAATATTAATGATAAAAGCAAAGGAAGGCAAAAGAAGCAGTTATTTTGGAAGAGGTTTGCCATTTTTATAACCTTTGAATTGGATCAACAGATGTTATAACCATTTCCAAAATCACAGAAACCCTACTGTAAGGAGTCAAAATGCATTTGTTGGGCAGAACATTTTCAATAGGGCTTGTCCCATAACCTCAGACATGGAGTTCTGAGTACAGTCCCTGCTGCCAGCAGTCCTGGGTATCTTTAGTGCTCATTTCCACCTCTCTGTGTTTTATTCCTGTCTTTCTCTTTTTTGAGGCAGGTCTTGCTATGTAGTTCAGGCTGGTCATTTTTCTTTTTCTTTCTTTTCTTTTGAGACAGGGTGCCACTATGGAGTTCACTTTGTAGCCCAGGCTGGTATCAAACTCACAATGTCCTCCTGACTTAGCCGCCCGAGTGCTGGGATTATAGGCGTGCACCACCATACCTGGTTCTGGTCTTGTTTCTAATGGACAATAATAACCATCCTCTGAGTTTGGCCCCACCTGTGCCAAGTTGGGCACTGCTGTTTCCATGTGAGGACCAAACCTGACAGATCTCAGAAGCACTGGAAGAGTTAGCAAATTGTTGAGTGGGCTGGAACAATTAACTGACCTGGATAATTTATTTCTACTGTAAAACTGGAAACCACACGCTCTAATGTTCTGCTAGCTAAAGGGAGAAAATACTGCAAATGCTGCAGCTTCCAGGGGAGAACGAAGCCCGCAGGAATGTTCACTTGCACATGAATTTCTGTTCATAAAGCGCTGCTGCAGATGCATGTGAGTTAAGAAGGGACAGGACTCTCTTTGTGCAAAATCTCTTGCTGGAAGGTTTGTTGTAGACAATAAAAGGCTTCCCCACCCACACCTCCCTTGGCCTTTGCTCTTTGGACTCTATTCATCAGGCTTCTTAACAGCACTCTTCCTCAGGAATAGCATTTACACCCTCTTTTACTTTTTTTTTTCTTTTGTGAGACAAGTTTTACCATGTAGTCCAGGCTGGCCTTTAACTCAAAAAGATACTCCTTCCTCAGCCTCCCAAGTGCTGAGATTACAGGTGTGTGCTACACCATGCCTGGCTTCCTTTAGAATTTTATTTATTTACTTATTTTCACACACATTCTTTATTAATTTCCACCACAAGAGACAATAACATCAATCTTTTTATCATAAATCTCAAATCATGAGAAGTCAAATTTATCTGAAGGAGGATAAAAATTAAATAAATGAACCAAAAGGCACATGATATCACCTAAAATCTACTACGATGACACCAGGGTAGGGAAGACTAGGCTACAGCAAATTATCTAATGTAAATGTTAACAATGATGAAACAGGAAGCAAGTCATTTGGGCATGAGGGGATATTTGGCCAGGAAAAGGTCGAAATGGCTGAGGGTAAAGCCAAATAGAAAAGAACAGGCAAGGAGAATTCAAGTTATACAGGCAAGCAGGTGATGCGTTGGGCTTCTTCCTCCCAAGAAACATTTGCTGTAGTGGGTATTCCCCTCTCTACCTTCACAAACAACCCAATAGCTGCTTGTGCTGAGCCCCTTACTTCTGCATTATTGGCAGTAAATTAGGGGCTCCCCAAAGCTTTTGGTAATGTAGGAGAGAACTTAAGAGAACTTGTCACACTTGGGCTTGCTCTGCAGCTGGCTGCTCTGAACAAAGAACCCTAAAGTATTCACATGCAAAGGAGTCTGAGCTTCCATAATCACATTCAAAGGGTTTTAAACAACAACCTCAAAAGTCTGAAACACTGCTGCAACTGAGTTATGGTTAAAGCTGCAAGGCTCACAAAATCAAGGCAGAATGAGGCAAATGCAGGTAGGAAATCCCAGCAGTCTGGCTTTTCCTAATTTAGGATAAATGCTAATATACCTAATGAGGGATGTAGAAAGATGCACTGGAGCTAGCTGGGTCTTCCAAATTTGTGTTGGAATGCCAACAGAAAACGGGGGTGCGTAGATTTCACATATAAAAAGCTTAGAAGATACCCTGTTATAAAGGGACATGACTGAACAGATAGGTAACAGATTCCCCGTTGTGAGTTCTCCTGATGGCTTCTGCGAGGATCATGGAGATGTCAATCACCTGTATCTTGGAGCAGTGCTTCATCTTGTCCTCCTGAGGTATAGTATTGGTGACTACTACTGCTTCAAAGCATGCATTGTTGATGCGAGGAATAGCTGGGCCAGAAAAGATTCCATGAGTCAAGATTGCATAAACTCTGGTAGCGCCGGCGGAGAGAAGCTTGTCAGCTGCGTGGCAGATCGTGCCACAAGTGTCAGCCATGTCATCCACAAGGATCGCCACCCTGTCCTTGACATCTCCCACCAGCACCATGCGGTCCACTTCATTGGCCTTCTTCCGCTCCTTGTGAATCAAAGCGAAGTCGACGTTCAACCGATCTGCGATGGAGGTAACTCTCTTGGCTCCACCAGCATCAGGCGAGACAATTGTACAATTCCTCCACTCAGAGATGTTCTCCCTAATCCACTTCAGGACAGCTGGTTCAGCATATAAATTGTCCACTGGGATATCAAAAAAGCCCTGAATCTGAGATGCATGTAGATCCATGGTGATAATGTGGTCGGCACCTGCAACAGACAGCATATTTGCAACAAGTTTGGCTGAGATCGGAGCTCGGCTCTTATCCTTCTTATCCTGCCAGGCGTAAGGAAAGCACGGGATGACTGCAGTGACTCGGCTGGCTGAAGCAATCTTGCAGGCATTAATCATGATCAAAAGTTCCATGAGATTGTCGTTGATTTCACCACAGCCACTCTGAACAATGTAAACATCTTCTCCACGCACACTTTCGCCAATTTCCACACATGTCTCCTGGTTGCTAAATTTCTTAGTCACCACCTTGCCCAGCTCCAGGCCCAGGCGGTCAGCAATCTTCTGGGATAAATCCTGGTGGGAGCTGCCGCTGAAGATTTTGATATTCGGCATCTTGGGCAACTATGTGAGGAGCTCTTTTCTCAGCGATCACTGCTCCGCGGAGAGGGGCACAGAAGTCGAGCCAGTCGCCTTACTGAAAGCTTGCGATCACTGTGTGCTATCTTCTTCCTTTAGAATTTAAAATGCACTTCGTATTAAAATCTCCTTCACGGTCCTGGCCTTATTTTTACAGTAACGCCTTAACAAGTACTATACAGATTAAAAACTGGTTTAAGAGTGAAGTAACGATCAAAGTAAAACTGACAATATTCCGGTTTCTGTAGGAATTAAGATTGGAGGTGGGGCCTTAGGATAACTACGTGTAATCACGCATTCTAAAGACGATTTTAAAGCGATCCTAGGCTGGGCTGTAACTCAGTGGTAGAAGTCTGGCCTAGCAAGGGCGCACGAGGCACTGGAATTCCTCAGGGCCAGACTATGCAAATTTGGATCAGGAAGGAAGTCCCTTCCGGTCCCCAGACCCTTGGAGTTGGGAGTGCGTAACTCCACCCTTGCGCAGGTGAGGGCTCGCCCAGAGCCGCGGAGGAGTCTTGGGACCGGCTCCCAGAGCCGCCTCCACCGCCTCCACCGCCTCCACCGCCTCCGGACTTCCTGCCCAGGGTTCCCACCGGATTAGCCCTGCTCCCGGAGCGCCAGCCAACCCGCCCGCGCCAGCCAACCCGCCCGCGCCGGGCTCCTCACGCGCTAGCCCGCCTTTCCGGCGGCTCCCTCCCTCCTCTTCGTCCCACCCCCGCGGCCCTGCTCGCCAGTCAGTCTCGGCGGGACCCCTGGCCTCTGCCCCCCAGTCCGTCACTGCAGGACCCCTCGCCCCCTGATCCTATCCCTTCCCGTTACCCTAGCCTCCCCAGAGGGTGTGAGACCCGTGTGCAGTTCTAACCTCCGTCTGGCGTGCGCTCGAACTGAACCACAGGAGAGGAGCCCAGAGACACCCTCGGCCGCGGCCCCGCCCTCCCCACCCCGCGGCCCCGCCCTCCCCACCCCGCGGCCCCGCCCTCCCCACCCCGCGGCCCCGCCCCCTCCCAACGGCCCCGCCCTCCCCACATCTCGCCCTCCCCTCCCGCGGCCCCGCCCTCGCCGGGGGGCTCTCCTTCCGCGGCCCCGCCCTTCCCACGTCTCGCCCTCCCCGCGGCCCAGCCCTCCCATTGCCCCGCCCCGCGCGGCCCTTGCACTCGCGCGCCGAACGCACCCCTCATGTGGCTTGGAGCCCGTTCCGCTGCGCTTTCTTCGCTCGTGCGCGCCCCCCGGCCATCTCCGGCCTCCGCCATGAGAACCGGCACCTTCGCCGTGTCACAGCCCCTCAATTACCGCGGTGGGGCCCGCGTGGAGCCGGCGGACGTCTCCGTCACCGAGCAGGCGTTCGAGCCAGCCACGGGTACGTGGCGGAGGCCGGGCGGCCGGGCATCCCTCCCCGCGTCGGTTGCGCGCGGCCCGCGCTCTCCCCTGCTCCTCCTCGGCGCGCCTAGGCCAGCCGAGCGGGGACGACGCAGCCCGCCGCGGGGGTCGGGAGCCCGCCGCGCCGGCGGAGGAGCAAGGCCGGCCCCCGTGGGAAGACGCGCCCGGAGTCCCAGCGCGTGGGAGGTCGCAGCGAGGGGAACGCGGTGACTTTGTGAGGTCTTGTCTCAAAATAAAAAGTAAAAGGGGCGGGGGTGTGGCTCCATGCGAAGGCCCTGGGCTCAGTCCCCAGTGTGGGGAAAGAAGTGTTCAGTTCTAGGCCGGCTGTGAAGTGTTCAGCGATCGATCGGCGGGACGCGGAAGTGTCGGAGGCGTGGAGGAGCACTCGCTTGCGGTTTTTAAGGAGTGTGAATGTGGATTTGGTGTCTCTCTTCTGGTGCTAAAACCAGATTTTCTGCACAGGAGTCAAAATTGGGAAAGGAAAAAAAACCACCTTGATCTAGAACCCTGAGGTATAATTGACAATAAGTTGTATATGTGGAAAGTGTAACATTGGGCTGGGGAGACAGCACAGTAGAATAAGTGCTTTCCTGGCAAGTGCAAGGTCCTGAGTTCAATCCCTGGTACTGAAAAAAAAAAAAGTGTGCAACATAATGTTTTACATACGTGTGCCTTTCAAAGTGATTATTAGTACAGCCAGAGCCAGTAACAGAGGTTACCGCAAGACAGCATCCGTTTTCTTGCTAGTGAAAACCTAGAGATAAATCCTTGAACCACCATGGAGGCATATCCCTGTAATTCCATCCTTCAGGAGGCGAGGTAGGGAGCGAACCTGAACTACCTAACATAACAAAGCCCTTTCTCAAACCAAACTATTCTAGGGGAGGGGAGATGGCTCAGTAGAGCTAGCCTGAACTGCCTAACAAAACCCTTTCTCAAACCAAACTATTCTAGGGGAGGGGAGATGGCTCAGTAGAATAAGCTCTTGCCTGGCAAGCACAAGGGCAAACTATTCTCTTAGCAAATCTTAAGTATACAATGCAGTATTATTGACTATAGTCCCTTAATGATATTATTACCCTATAACATAGACAGTTCATCTTAACCTCACTGTCTGAATATCAAACATCTTAGACATAACATGGAACAGGTATTTTCCATCAAGTATTGATATGTTAAACTTGAAGTCCTTCCAGAATATGGAGAAAAAATTAAAAAGATAAAAAAAATTTAAAAAACAATAAGCATTTACATATTTTTACACAGAAATTTAGAAATCTAATATACAGCCTTGTAGCAGGAACAGTCCTGTGACTTTTTTTTGTCTCATATTTTCATTTATCCCTATGTGAACACAAGATCTCCACACATATTTATCTGCCTAAATGCAACTTTTAAACTCCAGTTCTTCCTGTGTGTCCAGCTAAGAATGAGAAGGGTTTTTGTTTTGCTACCTTGTACCGAATGTTTCATGTAGATATGAAGACTGAAAATGTTTTTTGTAGACAAGAAAGGCAGATGAATATAGCCTGACTGGGAGGGCAGGGATGGGAGAGTTTAGGTTAACACTGCCCAGGGTCACAGAAAACTGATGTGTCAGAACTGGAAATGGCCACAGACATGGGGAAAGCTTTAATTCACACAGGGATCAGCTTCTTTGTCCCCTCTCCATAGTGACAAAAAAAATGGAATATATTTTTTAAATTATCTACAATGTCAGTGATCTTCAGTCACTACCTTTATCAACTATTCAAGTTTGTAACAGAAGTCACAGTTTGTACAGGGCATGTGGTACATTCTAGAAGCCTGGGGGGATCCAAAGTTGGAGCCCAGCCTGGGTGAATTATTGAGGCCCTGTTTCAAGATAAAAAGGTGGGGAGAGTTGGCTGGGAATGCAGCCTAGTGCAAAGGCCCTAGGTTCAACAAAGATTATATGTGTGAAATCCCTCTGGAAAAACCAACTCTCAGGATTTTTTTTTTTTTTTTTTTTTTTTGCACCTGGCATGAACTCAGGACCGTGTACTTTGCCAGGCAGACATTTGTGCTGCTGAGCTATATCCCTGGCTCCAAAACCCCTGAGATTCTGAGACAGTATTAAGGAGACTTGCAAAATGATCTAGAGGAAATAGATGTTAATATGCCCAACTATAAAATAGAAAAAGCAGGGGTCCTGACTCACAGCTGCTGTATTTAGATAGGGCACATGGCATCTGTGATTCTGTGATTCCTTTTTTCTTGAGCGAGGTCTGTGACTTGTCACTGTGCACAGTAGTTAAGAACTGCAGGTGTAGAGGTGGTCATTGAATCAAGCCATACTTAAAAACAGGAAGGATCTCTAAGAAAACACTGACACATGGTTTTAAATATGTTGCAATAATTTGACATACAACTGACTTTTCTATTTCTTATAGGCCGAGTGATAGCCACTTTTGCATGGTCAGGAGAAAAGGAAATCAATTTGGCTGTTCAGAATGCAAAGGCTGCATTTAAAATATGGAGTAAAAAATCTGGCATGGAGCGTTGCCGAATCCTTCTGGAAGCTGCCAGGATAATGAGGGTGTGTATTTACATATTCCTTTCCAGAAAAGTCTGCTGATGTTCCTGTCGGTTCTGTGTAGTTGACATTGATGCAACAGTAGATTGTTTTGGTATTTTTTTAAATTTAAAAAAAATTTTTCCATAATTTTATTGAGAAACAAATAATAATGGGACAGTTTCAAACCAAATTGTTAGAACAGTTTCAATAATTAACACGTTACATACATTCTTCCTAGTGGTTAATTGCTGTACAAGATGCGGACTTGATATCCTATTTACAAACACCATTAGAGCAAGCAAGTCCCTGTATTCATTAAGAGAATGTAACTATATATCTATCCTAACCACTTTGAATATACAGATACAAAGTGGACATTCATCTGTATCCCCTTTTTTTGTTAAGTTCCACCATTTAAATATTATAGGTGTGTAAACTCAGCAAAATATTCTAAAAGAGTCCAGTAGTCCATAATAGTATTGGGTCTTCTGCTTCACTGGCAGTGTCAGAAATTGTTGACCTGAGTCCCCTACAGCTCAACATAACAGCATGGCTTTACTTCTTATACTTCGTTTTAATAGTTTTCTGCTGGATGGTTAAGACCAAGGTAAAGCAGGACCTATGCAACAAGAGTTGTAGCTTTGCAACAGTAGATTGTAACGTTTTCATGAAATGGAAAAACATTTTCACCTGCTCACTTTGGTGTATACCACATGCTTGCTTTCCTGTCCAGATCTTTGCTCTTGAACAGCTCCTTTGGCGGGTTTCCTTTCCTGTGTTTGTGCCGAACTCTAGTGCCCTCTTGGTAGCTTGTCTGCTTTTCTTTCTTTTTTTTTGTGGAACCAAAGATTGAACTCAGGCCCTTGAGCTTGCCAGGGAAACGCTTATTCTACTGAGCCATCTCCCTGGCCCTTGCTTTTCTTTATAAAACATTTGTAGGTTTTTTTAAATTAGATTTTATTGATACATTTTAGATATACATAATGAGCACATTGATCATAGAGATACACAGCTTTAAAGGATAGATAATAAGAAGTAGGGGAGCAGACCCTTCTCACAGGGGAAGGGGACCAAGAGATTGATGGAGGGATGGGGAGGGAGGGAGGGGAAAGGCTGAGAAAGCGATAAAGATGTTTGTGTTGTGTACCAGCTCCACACAAGGACTGGAAGCATCATGTACTACAGACATGTATGGAAAGAAAAAAGGAAGAGGATCAAAGAATGAGTGGAGGAGGGAGGGAGCAGGGATGAGAAAAGGGATTAAGATGTATTGTGTCTGTGTACCAGCCACCATATGGAATAAAAGCGTTATGTACTACATTCATGTACTAATGACCTAAGATAAAAACAAATGAAGGAAAAAAATGAAGGAATAAAACCCCTTAAAGTAGTATATGCTCACTATAGAACATATCGATATTCAGAAGAATACATACCAAATTTTGAATCATAGCTATCTCTGATAGGAGAAATTATTATCTGATTTTCTTATCTCTGGTAGGATTATGGTGATTTTTTTGGTCATGAGTATGATAAATCAAAAACTATGAGGGTTGTGTTAGCTTACTTGCAAAACTGTGTACACACACACACACACCCTGTACATAGCTTCTCACAGGAGACATGAAGCTTTTGGAATGGACTTTACATGGAATGGGGTGGACTACAGGAGAAGATCCTAAAATTAGGAGACTTAGCATATATAAGGGCTGCGGTCATATCTGCCTTTCCTATCCTTTGGGGGGAGAGAGAGAAAAAGAGGAAGAGGTTACTCATTAAGCAAGTCTCAAGCTGAGAGGGAAAGGTCAGTCAGATAAGTACAGCGGAGTGCCAGCAGATGTGCGCAGGAGCAGGAAGCAAAACTTCGCTCTTCCACATGACTCTGGTGGTTTCTTATCTTCAGGGTGCTGCATTGTCTGCCTTCCAGGGCTTTCCATGTGAACCCGCCTGCCAGTGTTCATTGTGCAGAAAGCCTAAACCATACGAAAATGTCGCCAGACTTACGGAGCCCTTTTCCTGACCAGTATTTTCCCCTATTGTTTCAAATTAGTTTCAATTTGATAGACCGAAGGTCATGGTTATTATAAGCTAATAGCTATTTTCTCCAAATGCACATTGAGTTGCTGTGTCCTCTTAGGAAGTGTCTCTGCTATGAAATGATTTTTATTAGGCCTAAATGTTTTTGCTCTGATATTTTTTGTTTTTCGGAGGAACTAGGGATTGAACTCAGGCCCTTGCACTTGGCAGGGAAGCGCTTAGTCTACTGAGCTATCTCCCTGGCCCTCTGTCTGATTTTTTTTTTTTTTTTTTTTTTCAGAACTGGGGATTGAACTCAGGCCCTTGCGCTTGCCAGGGAAGCACTTATTCTACTGAGCCATCTCCCCAGCCCCTGTCTGATATTTTTTTAAGAAAACAAATAATTAATTGTACTTAATGATGTAAAGACATGTGGCTCTGTGTAATAAATCTAGTCTTTTTTTTTTTTTTTTAACTCAAAGGAGCGGAAGGATGAAATTGCTACCATGGAGACCATCAACAATGGCAAGTCCATCTTCGAGGCCCGCTGGGACATCGACACTTCCTGGCAGTGCCTGGAGTACTTCGCAGGCTTGGCAGCGTCCATGAGTGGTGAGCTGTTGCCTGACTTTCTGACCAGCTGGCAAGGGGCAGAAGCGCAGAGTTCACCACCTTCTCCTTGGGTAGCCCGGGAATTTCCTTATCTAAGCTGTTGATAAGGATCTCTGACTTTCTGGGTTGGTGTAAAGTTGCTAAAGCACTGCTGCTCACAAGAGCTAGCATTGGCATTTGCCAGCTTCACGAATTTAGCAAAGAGCTCCATAAAAATATTACAAAGTTTACAGCAGGGGCTTGTGGGTTAGCTCAGTTGTTTAAGCGCCTGCTTGGGCAAACCCAGTCAGGCTCAAGGGACCGTGGTTTGATCCCCAACTCCACAGGCTGTACCAGACCCGCTCTTAGGGTAGCCTGAGACAGCCAAAAAAAAAAAAAAAAAAAAGTTTACAACAAATCACAATGCAGATTTGTAGGGCCCAGAGAGGTTGGGCCATCCTGCATTAAACAAAACAAAACAACTGTTGTCCAGTGGAGGCTCAGGAAGTTTTAGAAAGTTAGGAGGACCAGCCTGTGTTTGAAGGACAAGTAGGGTGCAGTGTGTGGGAAATTGAGGGAGGAAAAAGCTGGGGTCCTGGGAGCTGGGTCTTAGGAGCAGTGGGGTGCTGGTCAACCTGAGTATAGTTGGGTGGGTGCCTGTGTCAGGGTCGGTCAAACTTGGGGAGCAGGAAACATGTGCTCCCTTTGTTCTCCGTTTATCTTACAGGTGAGCATATCCAGCTTCCTGGTGGATCCTTTGGCTACACCCGCAGGGAGCCCCTTGGGGTGTGTGTGGGGATCGGAGCCTGGAACTACCCCTTCCAGATTGCCAGCTGGAAGTCAGCCCCGGCTCTGGCCTGTGGTAAGCAGGAGCCAGATCTACTAATACCGCCCGCCCCCCCCCCGCCAGGTTCTCTGCTCATTACCTTTCACCCTGCACCTCAAAGCAGACCTTGGAGGACACAGGTCCATTCCTGCCTTGCCTTGTTCTCCTGACCTCAGGGTCAACTTCTACCCACTGCCCTGCAGACTGTCTGAGAGACCTGCCTGCTCAGTTACCTCCCACAAGGCTCTGCCCAGCTCCCATACCCATAGTAAAGATAACATATTTACTTGTTTTACAAGGCCAGGAATTCTAATTTCTTGGTTTTTATTTTGCAGTACTGGGCATTGAACCCAGGGCCTTTGCACTGAACTCTATCTCCATCCTTCTTTTAATTCTTTGAGACAGGGTCTCACGAAGTCACTAAATTGCAGTGGCTGGGCTCAGATTTATGAACTTTCTGCTCCGCATTCCCAGAATGCTGGGATTACAGGTGTCCACCACCAGCTCTGGCTCTAACTTTTGATGAAAGAAAAAACATAAAGAATAAAATAAAGAAAGAAATTTTTCCTGCTAAATTGAATTTATTTTGTGCTTTCTGGACAGTAGTTTCTAGCACTTAGGAAGCAGAAGATACACTCCACTGGTTTATAAAAGAAGTGATAAACAAGGGTCCCATGAGAGTAGCTTCTGTGACAGGCTACAAGAGTGGTTTTCTTATACTCTTTAAGGAAAAGAATCTATAGGGAAGAAGCTTATTTTATCTTAGAAAAACTAATGGTAGCAAAGCAGAGCTGTTAGGGCATATGCAAGCACTCCTTGGTGTCACTGGTGTGGGCTCTTAGTACCTTGCTGTGGAGGGGCCTGATGAGAGAGGAGGAGTGCCGGGATCCAGTCCCTAGCTTTATATGCTCTCCCCAGATGACCCTTTCTGGTCTTCACTTTAAACTCTTTTAAAAGGAGACGTAGTTAATTCCTGTATTAGATAAATTTGATAACATTGTCATCTTTCTATTTCCTTACATTATACAAATTAACAAAAATATGCAAAGTGTTGGTCATCTTGTATTTAAAGTCTTTTTTAATTTTTTTTTTTTATTTTAGGGAAGGGTCTATAGGGTGTTCAGGGTCTCATTACTAGTTCAGACTTGTAGTGATCCGCCTGTTTACAGCCTCCCAAGAGCTGGGATTACAGGAACGCGCCACCAGGCCCAGTCTCAATTGCCATCTCAAGACAGGCCCAGGGATCCAACCCCCCCCCCCAACCCCTGTGCCTGCTTGCAGGTGCTTTAATCCACTGAGCTACTTGGCTGGCCTTTATTTTTTTAATTTATTTATTGTGTGTGTGTGTGTGTGTGTGTGTGGCCAGCTCAGTCCACCAGGGGGTGGGGCTGGCTGGCATGTAGTGCTGGGGGATTGAACTGCGGTCCCTGTGCTCTGCTAAGCTTGTTCTAAGTAGGTGCTTTAGACTACTGAGCCATCTCACCATTGGTTGGCCTTCAAATTCTTTTTTTAAAGAAATATTTATTTTTTACAAGCTCTATGCTCTGCAGCTCAGGAGACTGGCATAGACTGGCACGGTGTGCCCAGGGTTCTGGGGACCACACAGCATGCAGTATTAAGGATCAAACTCGGGACCTTGCACTTGCCAGGCAGGCACTTAGACTGCTAAGCTATTTCCCCAGCCCATCGTCCTATATTTAAATTCTTGGGCTGGTAGGTGGTTAAATGCAAAAAGGCCTTTGTGCAGATGTGTGGTATTACTGTTGGAGAGGGGGCATCTGTCTGGTCTATTGAATGAAAGAAACGAGGGTAAGAAGGACAAGATGTGTCCTTTATTAATAATGATTTTGGTCTAGGATTTGTTAGTGGAGCAGCAAACAGAATTGTCCTTGTCCTACCCTCCAAAGGTCACCAGTCTGAAGCCTTGTTGTGTGGTGTCTTGGCTTTGTGCAGGCAACGCCATGGTCTTCAAGCCTTCCCCCTTCACACCTGTTTCTGCTGTGCTCCTGGCCGAGATCTACGCCCAGGCAGGGGTGCCTCCTGGGCTCTTCAATGTGGTGCAAGGCGGTGCGGCCACCGGCCAGTTTCTGTGTCAGCATCCCGACGTGGCCAAAGTCTCCTTCACTGGAAGTGTGCCCACTGGCATGAAGGTGAAGATGAAGCCAGTGCTGGTTAACACAGTTGCCGGTTGACCTGGCAAAGGCAGCTCTGCTTGGCACACTCTTGGAAGTTCTGCTGTGGAGCTGACTTACCGTGTATAAGGAGCAGGGCAGGAAGCTTTATGGGGCTGGGGTCTACAGTGTCCTGGGAAGTGGGGGAGGAGCAGGGATCTGACTCTGTGCTAGGTCAGCTGAGGCATGCTTGAGGTTACAGGCCTGGACTGCCACTTTCGTTTGGTGACTTAACTCTGGGGCTAGTAGGAAGGGGATTTTTCTTAGGTTATTTCCAATTCATGATTTGTATTCTGAGCTCTGTCAGCCCTAAAAACAGGAAGAGCCATGAGAGAGAATTCCTGGCAATCATGACAATATGTTTTTCATTTTTAATTTTTTTTTTTTTTGATACAGGGTTTCACTATGCAGTTTGAACTTCTAGCGATCTTTTTGTCTCAGCCTCCTCAGTGCTGGGATTAAGGTGTGTGCCACCATGTCAGGTTTCAGGGCTGGCATGGCATGCAGTACTGTGGATAGAACTCAGGACCTTGTGTTTGCCAGGCAGGCGCTTATGCCTCCAAGTTATTTCCCCACGCTGACAATATATTTTAAATGATGGGTGATGAATCTGTGTACCATGTGCCACAGTAGGCTTTTGCATCATTGAAAACTCTGAAAGTTTCATTGTCACTGTTTAAAATGACCTCTTTCTTCAAATTTGAAGTACTATACATTTCTATGGGTTCTCTTTAGTTTTCTGGAAAGTAATATTTTAAACAGATGAAAGGTAGAGTACATTGATGATAATAAAGTAGCAGCTCCTGTATAGCTGTCAGTGGCTTGGTAGGGTCAGGGCTAGTAGATATAGCGTGTAGTCTAACCAGTGTTACACTTCCTGGAAATGCTTTTTGTTCTATCAGATCATGGAGTTGTCAGCGAAAGGAGTCAAACCTGTGACGCTGGAACTTGGGGGCAAATCTCCACTCATCATCTTCTCAGACTGTGACATGGAGAATGCCGTGAAGGGGGCGCTGATGGCCAACTTCCTCACGCAGGGCCAGGTACGGCTTGTCCCTGGGAAAGAGTGGGCAGGAGTCACCACCCTGCATCGAGCAGCGTGTGCTGTAGTATTGCTTTGACTATGTTCAGCCTTAATAAAAGAGTTTGAAAGTAGTATGAGGATTTCCCACATACCCTTGACCCAGATTTTTTAATATTAAAATATTATCATTGTTACTATATCCTCTTTATCTTTCTACACACATACATATGTATATTAAATGTTTCTTTTTTTTTTTTTTTCTGTACTTAGGACAGATTCTACAGGATCTATAGGATTTCACTATGTAGATCAGACTTGTAGTGATTCTCCTGTTTTCAGCCTACCAGGCCCTGGGTTCATAGGCATGTGCCACATGCCCATTCTCAATCACTGCTCAACACACCCTGGGGGCGGGGGCGGCATGGCATGCCTGGGACTGAACCCCTGCCGCTGCACTCTGCCCAAGCAGGCACTTTTTATTTATTTATTTATTTTATTTTTAAAAAAATTAATTTTGAGAAGCAAATAGCAATAAGACAGTTTCAAAACTGATTAATAGGTCAGTTTAAATAATTAATACATTGCATATTGTTGTCTTTGTAGTGGTTAAGATGCAGACATGATGCCCTGTTCAAACACTATTAGTACAAATCTTCTCATTGAATTAAGAGAAAGTAACTGAATATCTATCCTATTTTGTATATATACAGATACAAAATGATCCTTCATTTGTATCCCCTTTTTTTGTTTAGTCTTGTCAGAGATGGGTATTCCATTGTCTCTTAAATATTGTAGGTGCTTGAGTTCAGCAAAATAATCCAATATAGTCCAGTAGTCCATAATAGTATTGGGTCTTCCACTTGACTAGCAATGTCAGAAGTTGTTGACTTGAGCCTTTTATAGCTCAGCATGTTAATATGGCTTTACTTTTTATACCTCATTTTTATACTTTTCTGCTGGATGGTTAAGACCAAGATAAAGCAAGACCTAGATAACAAGAAATGTAACTTTTGTATCTGCTTAGGTCAGTCAAAACCCCCCCAGGATTTACCCTGAAACCCTGTACTGCACTTTGTAGGTCCTTTGTTAGTTTCAGCCATGTGGATGAGTCATGGCCATTGCCTGACCAATTTGCTCTCTGTGAAAGCCTGAGAGAATGTTTTCTCTCCGTGTGACTCTCCTTAGGCATACTCTACATCATTGACCACTTTCCTCTGTGGCCCCAAAATCTCCTTGATCAGAAAATTTGGGACACAAGTGAGTTATAGGATGTTATAGTACAGGTCCTGAGTCCTCACTGACCTTGAAGGGCTAGGGCCAGAATGTTGGCTGTCCTTGCAGTCCTTCTTTGTCTCTAATTTTTGGTCTGCAAACTTAAGTTGTTAACCTCCAGAAGAGAAGCTTAAGCAGGCACTTTAGTCCGTTGAGCTGTCAGGCTGGCCCTGTATTAAATGTTTCTGAACCACTTAAAATGTCCTTAGAGGGGCTGGTGGGATGGCTCAGTGGTCTAAAGCACCTACTTAGAGCAAGCTTAGCAAAGCACAGGGACCGCGGTTCAATCCCCCAGCACCACATGTCAGCCAGCCCCGCCCCCTGGTGGACTGAGCGGGCCACACACACACACACACACAAATAAATAAAATTAAAAAAAAAAAATGTCCTTAGAAACAAGTGCATTCTTTTACATAGTATAGTACACTTATGGAAATTGATAAGCTAACATAAGTAGGACTCTTTTTTAAAAAAATGTATTTAGTACAGGGTCTAGAGGATCCTACTACACAGATAGGACTTGGAGTGATCCTCCTGTTTTCAACCTCCCAAGCACTAGGATTACAGGCACATGCCACCATGCCCAGTCTCAGTCCATCTCAATGTGCCCCTGAGGTGGGCTGGCATGCTTGTGGTGCTGAGGATCAAACCCCAGTCCCTGTCTCTGCCTAAGCAGGAGTTGTTTGTCTTTTTGAAAAAAGGTCTCACTTTGTAACCCAGGCTGGCCTCAGACTCATGGCATTTTCTTGCCTCAGCCTTCCAGGAGCTGAGACTATAAGCATGCACTGGCATGCCCAACTATAGCGCTCTGTTACCCAATGTGTAGCCTTCGCTAAAATGTCACCATTTGTTTGATTAATGTGTTTTTAGTAAAGGTAAACAAAAAATATTTTATTTCTGGTACAAGGTCCAAACAAAGATGATGCATTACATTTAGTTGTCTTGACTGCTTTTTTTTTTTTCTATTCAAAGTTATTTTTTAGGGCTGGGGAGATGGCTCAGTGGAATAAGTGCTTCCCTGGCAAGCACAAGGTCCTGAGTTCAATCCCTGGTTCCATAAAAACAAAAAACAAAGTTATTTTTAAAAAATTGAACATATTTTAGGGTACACTATAACTTGATACACATATAACATGTAGTACTCAAATTAGGTAATTAGCATTAGTTCTTTTGTCTTTTATTTCCTTTAATTAGGAAATGTTCTCTAGTTATTTTTATTATTTTTATCTTATTTAATTTTTCTTTAGTTATTTTATTTTATTTTTTTCAGAACTGGGAATTGAACTCAGGCCCTTGCGCTTGCCAGGGAAGCGCTTATTCCACTGAGCCATCTGCCCGGCCCACTTTAGTTATTTTTTTAAAAAAAGTTACTTATTTAGCATAGGATCTCCCTGTGCAGCAGCAACTTGTAGTGATCTTCCTATCTCAGCCTCCCCACACTGGGATTACGTGCATGTGCTACCACGTCCGGTTTTGGTGGCCAGCACAGCATGTGGTATGCGAAATTGAACCCAGGTCCTGTGATGGACACTTAGATCACTGAGCTATCTCCCCAGCCCAACCTTGGCATTTTTGAGGTATACAGGCCATTTTATTGATTGATGGATTGAGGCAGGGTCTTGCTATGCAGTTCAGGCTGGCTTTATGCTTACTTTTGTAGCTCCCCAGCTGGTCTCTAACTCCCAGGGAGCCTCCTTTCTCAACCTCCAAGTGTAGGATTACAGGGGTGCCCCACCACGCTTGGTCTGGGGCATTTACTTTATAGGATGTTCATTATTATAGATCTGTCTGATGTTTCTTGTTAATCACATTCCTATTATGCATTTTTGGCAAAAAAATAGTCCAAATGTGCTATTGTGCCCTTCTTTGAGGGTGTTGACGCTATTGCCTAAGGGAGGTCTTCATTGTAGTATCCAAGTTTTTTTTGTTTCTGTGGTGAATTATTTTCTGAGAAATACCTCTCTTTTTTTGGGTCTTTCTGAGACAGGGTCTGCTATGCAGTTCAGGTTGGCCTTGAGCTTACTTTGTAGTGCAGGCAGGCTGGCCTTGAACTTTCAGTGACCTTCCTGTCTCAGCCTCCTGAGTTCGGGGATTATAGGCATGCCCAGCCATGAGAGATACCTTGAGGTTCTTCTGTTCCTCATCAACTACCTTTCCAGTAGTTTTATCATCTGTTGATGATTCTTTTTCTTCTTCTTTTTTTTTTTCTTTCTTTTTTTATTTTTGGCGGAACCGGGGATTGAACTCAGGCCCCTACGCTTGCCAGGGGAAGTGCTTATTCCACTGAGCCATCTCCCCTGTTGATGATTTTTGCTAAAAGTTTTTCTTATGGTTGTTGCTGAATGATGATTTTCACATTCTACTGTTCCTCGTGTATTTATCTGTCCACTTTCTGATGTCAGAAGGAACGTTCCTTCTCTTTTTCCTTCACTTATTTACATACTTTTATTTCATTCTGGTGATTGTAATCCATTGGTATTATTGTTTATTTGGATGCTCAAATAATTGCATAGCTGGCTAGTGGGGGCCACTGTCTCTGCTCTGTTGGTATGTTCTCTTTTTTTTTTTTTTTTTTCATGTGTTTAGTACAGGGTCTATAGGGTCTCACTATGTAGGTCAGATTAGTAGTGTTCCTCCTGTGTTCAGCCTCCCAAGTGCTGAGATTACAGGTGTGTGCCAAGATGCCCAATCTCAATTTCCCAGCATGCCCTGGGCGCAGGGCTGGCATGGCGTGTGGTGCTGGGGATCAAACCCCAGTCCCTGCACCTGTCTAATCAGGCGCTTCAGTCTGCTGAGCTATCTGGCCAGCCCAGATGCGCTCTTTCTTTAAGCACTTTAATTTCTGGCACAGTAAGGTCTTCTAGACTCATCTTACTCTTTCTCTGGCTAGACCCTGCAGTCAGCCATTTTTCTGGGAGCTGTGGTTCACTTACTGGTAAATAGCATTCAGCAGCTCTGATCTCAGTGGCAGGTACGTTTCCTGCTGCTGGAGTAGTGGTGCTCCCAGGCCCTCAGCAGAAAGTGCTAGGACCTACATGTTGTATTTTATTTTATTTTATTTTATTTTATTTTTTTATACTGATTATATTTGATTCATTTATTAAATCAGAAAATTACTGAGTAGCTACTCTGTGCCAGACACTGTTCTAGAAGGTAGAAATTGAGCAAGGCACACACCAGACAAACCCCCTGCCCTAAAGTAATATAAATTCCACAAAAAGTCATTGGATAAAACATGATGATAGATTTTTCTCGCTTTGCATGCCATCATGACTATCAGCATGTATTAGTTCTTTTGGTTTTATTACATGATTTAATATAAATTATCCAACCAAAACTGCATACCAAACATGGGGCATGATTATATTTACTAAATTTTATGTGTAAAAAAAGGCAAGTTGAGAGATGCCTAAGTTCTCCTGGTAAACAGGGGTAGAATGGACCATGAATTTCAGGTTTTCAGACCTACAGTGACATACTTTCGGACTCTACCACAATCCTTGTGTTAGCGTCCTCCCTTCTTAATACTATTTATTGCTAGAAAGAAACAATGACGCACTTCTATTTTTTTGTTGTTGCTGTTGTTGCACAAGCTCAAAAATTGTAATTTATTCTGAGCTGATTGATATAAATATATCTGAGCATTCTGGAAGAAAAAAGTTTAAAAATGCTTTTATCAATAAGACAATCATAGAAATCTGGCTGTATTTTATTTTTATTATTCTTTTGGTGGCATTCATTTTATTTTGTTTTATATCCGTGCCTGCATTTGCATGTTATTAATAACCACCAGTTCAAGCAGAAACTTCCAATTTTAATCTAATACCCTAAGGGTTCAGTTGGCCATCTACCTTTCCATAATTATAATTTCTCTGACAGTAAGAAATTTGACCCCACTACTCATAATATGTTTATTTAATTTCTTACTCCTTAAGCCAAGTATGGTGATTCTCACCTGTAATCCTAGTACTTTGAGGGAGAGGCAGGAGGATCACCATAACTTTAAGTCCAGCCTGAATTACACAGTTCAAGGCCAGCCTGTACCTTGTCTCAAAAAAAAAAAAAAAACAAAAAACAAAAAAAAAAAAAAACAAACCAAGTAACAGCAACATTCCTTAGTCTTTAATACAATTACAGTAGCTTCAGATTTGTGACTATATACCACTGTGAAAAATAAAACCTCTAGTTGGAGTTCACAGTAATTTTAAGTTTTTTTGTCTTTAGTTTGAGCAGATACTCAAAATACTGTGTTCAGGCTGTCAGATAGCTCAGCGGACTAATGCACCTGCTTAGGCAGAGTGCAGGGGTGGGGCCAGCCCTGCCCCCAGGGTGCACGGAGATGGAGTTTAAGACTGGGCATGGTGGCGCATACCTCTAATCCCAGAGTTAGGGAGACTGAAAACAGGAGCATCACTACGATCTATGATCTACATAATGAAACCCTGTATACCCTGTAGACCCTCTTATAAATTCATAAAAAATAAATAAGTAACTATTCAACTGTTACCTAGACCTATTCTCCTTTCTTATACTGCTTTCAATATGGTTATGATATTCTTTTAAAATAACCCAATTGTTTTTTTGCTAGTATTTTATTTTTCATATCTTTGCAGACTTTGAAAGTCTGTTTCAAGCTGGGTGTGGTGGTACATGCCTATAATCCCAGCACTCTGGGAAGATAGGGAGGGAGACCACATGTTAGAGCCCAGCCTGGCAACTTAATGAAATCCTGTCTTGAATTAAAAATAAAAGTATGAGGAGTGGTGAGGTGGGTCTGCGGTACTCCCTGGGCACACCAGTAGTGCCAAACAAAAAGGAAACGTATTTTGATTAGACAAAATGATAATGTGGTTCTAAATATTAGAATTTACTAAAAATCTATACTTAAAACTGTTTCTACTTTTCCCCTAACTTTCTGGCCATCCCTGTTGGTAGCCATGCTAATCTATTTCTGGTTTTCCTTTTCTCTGCTGCTTTTTCACAGATGATCAAGTACTTCTGTATTTCTTGTTTGCTTTTGTTCCTTCTGGGTGAAGTGACATGTTAGAGGTGCTCTTGTCCCGTGCTGTTTTCACTTACCGTATCCTAGAAACTGCTCGATGTCATTTACAGAGATCCTTATGGACCCTCTTGCTTTTTCATGGCTGCGTGCTCCGGCTGCTGTTCTTTGTGTGGCGTTTAGGTTGTTTGCAGAACTTTACAGTGCTACAGTGACTGAATGACCAACACACACGTCTCTTCGTATTGGTGCACATGTATTTTCACTCTCCTAAAAGTGGTAAATGTATGTAGAAGTTTTGTGACAATTTCCAAAAATGAGCATTCTGTGTAATTTCATTATTTGACCCATGCTGGTCGTCACGCTATAGATTAAATGTCAGGAATTATTCATCCTAAGTACATCCTGTACTCTTTCACCAGCATCTCCCCAGTTTTTTCCTACTTCCTCTCTGATAATCAGCATTATATTCTCTGCTTCTGTGTATTTGACTGTCTAGATTCTACTTCTAAGTCAGATTGTCCATATCTGGCTTATTTCATTTCACGTAATGTTCTGCAGGTTGATCTACAAATGTCTCTTCATTCATTCATTGAGGAACACACAGATTGTGGCGTGCCTATGTTAGCTATTGTTAGTAGTTCTGTAGTGAGCCCGGCAATGCAGATAGCTGTCCTGAAATCAAAGTTCTGATTTCATTTCTTTGGGATACATCCCAAGCAGTGGATTGCTGGGAGGATATACTAGTTTTACTTTTCATTTTTGAGGTTCTGTTTTCCTTAATGGCTATGCCAGTAGACATTCCCAACCAGAGTGTGCGAGGGTTCCCCTTTCTCCACATCCTTGAAAACAATTTTTAAAAAATCTTTTTGGTAGCCTATGAGGTGTGAGGTAATACCTCTGTGTTTTGGGTTTGTATTTCCCTAAGGATTAGTGATGCTGAGCATCTTTTCATACTATGGGTCACTGTTGTATCTTTAGAAAAACATCTATCCAGGTCCTTTTTTAAAAATGAGGTTTATATTTGTATTTTGGTTGTTGAATTTTTTATGTATTTTGACTTTTTTAGATTGAAACAAAGAGGGGCCGGGGAGATGGCTCAGTAGGATAAGCGCTTGACTGGCAAATGCAAGGATCAGAGTTCAATCCCCGGTTCTGCCAAAAAAAAAAAAAAAAAAAAAAAAAGAGAGATTCCTAGATTGAAACAAGGTACACATAACATTTTCCATTTTAACTCATGCTGCAGATTACAATTGTTTGAATTTTTGCATGAAATTTGTATGTGTTACCTGGAAAAACTCAAGGAACAAGAACTTTTTGCCTTGTTTATTGCTTTTGGAATACTGCTTCTTTGGGCAGCATTACATTCATTTTTATGGAGCATCTAGTGATTATGTGCAACTTCACACCCAATCGGTTACTGAAATGCTTAGTTTTACAAGCTAGGTTTAAGCCTGGAGCACCTAATGTTCCTTGTTTTGTTTCTAGACAAGGTCTCACCATGTAGTCAAATTTGAGATCCTCTTTCCTGAGCCTTCCAAATGCTTGGATTGCAGGCCTGAGTCCCCGTGCCGGGCCCTCTTCTGTTCTTGTTCCCAGAGCCTCTCTCATTCCCTTCCAACTGTTGGAACTACGCAGCAGATTGAGCAGCTAGTAGGAAGGAGTGGGGGAGGCCCTGGTCACACAGACCCTCTGATGGCCCTAAGAAAATGTAAACAGTGGCAAGTGTGGTGGTGCATGCCTGCAATCCCAGCACTCTTGAGGCTGAGGCGGGAGGCTTCTGTGAGTTTGAAGCCAGCCTGGGCTACAAAATGAGTTCAAGACTAGCCTGAACTGCATAGTGAGACCTTGTCTTATGGGGGTGGAGGAGGGGGAAAGAGGGAGAGAAAATTTAAACAAAGTAGGAATTAATTTTTATCTTAAAATACAGTTTTATACTTGTTGGTGATATGTCCAAAATTATATATATAATCCTTCTAGTTAAGTACAGGTACAAGTTTTTATTTTATTTAATGTTTTGTAGTACTAGGGATTGAAGCCAGTGCCTCTGAACTGTGCTACATTCTTAACTCTTTCCTTCTTTCCTTCCTTCCTTCCTTCCTTCCTTCCTTCCTTCCTTCCTTCCTTCCTTCCTTCCTTCCTTCCTTCCTTCCTTCCTTTGAATATATTTGGTACAAGGTCTCACTGTACAGCTTGAGCTCATAGCAATCCTGTTTTTGTCTCCCCAGTGCTGGGATTATAGGCTTGTGTCAGCACTCCCAGACTCTGTGGCTAGTTTGGCCAGCTCAGCATGCCCAGCCTGGGGCTGGTGTGGCATGTGGTACTAGGGATGGAACCCTGGTCTCTGCGCTTGCCTAAGCAGGTGCTTAGTCTGCTGAGCTATCTCGCTGGCTCTACTATTTCTTTGTTTTGAGTCAGAGTTTCTTTAAGTCATAAGTTGCCCAGGCTAGGATGGAGCTTTCTCTCTTCTTCCCTCAGCCTCTCAGAATGCTGGGATGCCGCGTGTGTGCAGATGCTCCCATCTCAGCATGGGCAATTTTTAGAAATGAAAATATCCTTTAAGGGGCTGTCCAGATAGCTCTGAAGACTAAAGTGCCTGCTTAGGTAGAGCACAGCAGCTGGGGTTAGATCCCTGGTGTGCCATGCCAGCCCCGCCCCTGGGGCACACTGAGAAGTCAGTTGAGACTGGGCGTGGTGGCGTGTGCCTGTAATCCCAGCACTTGAGAGGCTGAAAACAGAATCACTACAAGTCCTATTTATGTAGTAAGACCCTGTACTAAATACACAAAAAAGGAAAATATCCTTTAAAAATTATGCCATGCCTCTTTAAGTGTAGTTATTATCTTACTTTTCTTTCTTCCTTTCACTTTGTCCCTTCGGTATATCTATGTTCTGTGTCTGTCCTTTAGGTTTGCTGTAACGGCACGAGAGTGTTTGTGCAAAAGGAAATTCTTGATAAATTCACCAAAGAAGTAGTGAAACAGACCCAGAAGATAAAAATCGGAGATCCTCTCCTGGAGGATACAAGAATGGGCCCGCTCATCAACCGGCTGCACCTCGAGCGGGTCCTGGGCTTCGTCAGGTCAGCAAAGGAGCAGGTGAGGAATGAGCAGAGGAGGGGCTGGGTGAGGGGAGGTCATGCTGTGTGGCCATCCCTCGTTGCTGTGCGCTGGTGGAGGTGCCCCAGCAGCGCTCGGCTTCGGGTCTGTTGGTTTGCTCAGGATACATGCACCTTTTCTGGAGTGCTTTGGGGTTGTATGTTTAGTGCAAAAAGACGCATTGTTTTTCCTTTCATTGGCAGGGTGCTAAAGTGTTATGTGGTGGAGACCCGTATACACCTGAGGATCCCAAATTAAAAGATGGATACTACATGAGACCATGTGTATTAAGTATGTTTTCTTACTTGCAGGGTTTTTTTTAATGTAAAAAATTAAACAAAGGTATTTGTTACTAGGTCTCCCTACATAGCTTAGACTCATAGTGATCCTACTGTGTCAGCCTCCCCAGCACTGGGATTAGAGGTGTGCTCCACTCTGCCTGGTTTTGGGGCCCACACGGCACTCCTAGAGGGCTCTGGGGCCGGCAAGAGGTGCAGTACTAGGGATTGAGTCCTGGTCCTTGCGCTTGCCAGGCAGGTGCTTAGACTGCCGAGCTACTTCCCAACCCCTTATTTGCTTTTACATGATTTGAATTAGGTATTGAATAGATAGAAGTGAATATTGAGCCAATTTGTATGTGGCAGAAGGCGAGGATTGGCAATTCATGTGTTCCCACTACTCAGGTTTAAAAAGTAGAAATGCCCCATCAACTTTGACTCCCTCTGGGTGCCATTCCCTTAGAGAAGTCATAGGTTTTAGTTTACCTGGGACAATATCTTATGTTCTGGAAGCAGGGAGAACAAGAGAAATAAAAGTGAAAAATTGAAGTGTATAGGTTTCTTTGTTTTGTTTTGCAAAACAGGGGATTAAACCTGAGGCTTCTGCACTGAGCTGCATCTTCAGTCTTAGAAAAAAAATTTTTTTGAGATGGAGTCTCACTGAGCTGTTACACTGTCCAGGCAGGAGTGAGCCATCATGTGTGGCTGCAGATGCATATTTGATAAAAAGTTAAGTAATCAATTTAATTCCCCAAAAAGTCAAGAAATAATGTTTTTCTTTTGCACTATGGAAGATTGTAAAGCCAGTTTGGTATGTAATATTTTAGTCTTTTTAAACATGAAGCCGTTTCATAATTTTTAGTATCTCTCAGACTTAAAAATCTCCTGGTCTGAGCTGGGCGAGGTGGCACACATCTGATGTTCTTACCTGTCAGCCCTCCTTGATGTCCTTGTCTCTTCATACTGCAGCCTAGACCTCTCTTCTCCCCAAGCTATCCTGTATTAAGAACTGAAGTAGTGCCACGCCAGCCGAATATCTCAGCAGATTAAAGCACGTGCAAGCAGGCCCAGGGGCTGGGGATTCAATCGCTGGGCCTGCTGTGCTGACCCTGCCCCCGGGACACACTGAGACAACAATTGAGACTGGGCATGGTGGTGCATGCCCAGCTCCTGGGAGGCTGTGAATACTATGAGTCCAATGTAGTAGTGAGACCCTGAACACCCTGTAGACTCTTCCCTAAAATAAAAACCCCCAACACTTGAGTAGAATGATAAGATATTTTCTATGACTATTGGGTAATTGCTTTGAGTAATTAAATTCTTGGCTAATGGTTTTCCTCAAAATTATTTATTTATTTATTTATTTTTTGGCAGAACTAGGGATTGAACTCAGGCCCTTGTGCTTGCCAGGGAAGCACTTATTCCACTGAGCCATCTCCCCAGCCCCTTCCTCAAAATTATATGTGGATTATTTTCAAATAATTAGAATATATGAAATCCTCCTTAAGTGCAGCCTGGGTATTCTTGATGCACCTTTCAAGATAATGCAGATATCTGCAGAGCACATTGTGACTCACAGGCGACCAGCAAGCTGTCTAGTAAAGAACAGCACCTAGCATATCTCTCTAAGAGATTTTAGAGTTGTTGTCTTTATAGCTTAGGAGGTAGTTGGTTTTTAGTCTTGGGCTAAGATAGAACTGGTGTTTCTAGTAGGATTCTCAAGCTCTTTTTCTGCCCCCACACTGCTTAAGCATATAACTCAGAATTACAAACTGCATATCTCACTCCATGCAGTGACTGCCAAAGTCCAGAGAAGCTGATCTTTAGGTACAGCGCAGATAAATACATGCACCCCTTTCTTTGAGACTCGCTGGGGTACACCAGTGAACATTTGAATTTCTGAGCTTTTTTGACATATGTATTTTAAAATATTAACAATGAATTAAATCATTTCAGGAATTAGCCACTTAAAGGAACTTAAGTATGTTTTAATATAAAGCGAATACTTCTGCAATTCTGTCTCCCCTCCACGTCCTTCCCTCTCCCCTCTCCCTTCCCCTCTCCCTCTCCCTTTCTATTTCCTCTTTCCTGTCACATTAAGAAAATGTGAAAAAGTATAAGAACAATTATTCTGTAACATTTAAACAGCAGTTGGTATGCAGCTCTGTCTGCTGGGTTTTGTTGTGAACATTTACATCATCTTTTTTCCCCAAAAACATCACTTGGAGCTTCCTGGAAGTTTGCCGTGAGGATGTGTATAGTTCATGTGATCATTTCTTATATTCTGGATGTTTAGTTTATTGCTTTCTGTTTTTACTATTTTAAGTAAGGTTGTGATGACTGTCCTTAACAGTAAATCTTTGTCCCCTCATTAGCTGTTTCCTTATGATGGGTTCAGAAAGGCGGATTTAAAGCTACACAAAGTCTGTGCTTGTTCTGTGCGAGTTGCGAAGTTGCCACGCAGAAAGGGTGTTCAGTTTATGTCCATACTGGCAGTACCATGCTGCATTTTTTCTAGTTACATTTTATTGTTTGTTGGGAATAAAGTGCCTTTATGTTTTGGAGATTTCACCAACTTTGGCTTTTATGCTACATGCTTGCAGCTGATTGCAGAGATGACATGACCTGTGTGAAGGAAGAGATCTTTGGACCTGTCATGGCCATTTTACCATTTGATACTGAAGCCGAGGTTCTGGAACGAGCCAACAATACCTCGTTTGGACTTGCAGCTGGTGTCTTTACCAGGTATGTGGGGCGGGCACCCCAGGCAACTTCGAGGATGGGGGCCACAGTGGCTGCCTCCATGTGTGGTGGATCTGGCTTCTCCTGGGGCCATCGGTGTTCTGTGTTTGCTTCAGTTGAGGCCAGAAGATGCCAGAATAGCTCTTTATAGTTTGCCCTGAATGACCAGAGGACACTGGTCAAGTTCAAATTGACCTTTGAACTTTGTTGATGAAAATTCTGTTCTCTGGTTTGTTCAATGAATAAACTTTTTTTTTTCTTTTTTGGCAGAACTGGGGATTGAACTCAGGTCCTTGTGCTTGCCAGGCAAGTGCTTATTCTACTGAGCCATCTCCCCGGCCACCAATAAACATTTGAGGTTGTGATCTATGTAAAGCATTGGGCTAGGAGTCTGTTGGAAGCATACTCATGCGGGTCAAGAAATTTGGAAACCTGTATATATAAACATGGAGCTGGGTATGGTGGCACATGCCTATATCCCAGCACTCAGGAGGCTGAGGCAGGAGGATCACTGTGAGTTGAGGCCAGCCTGGGCTACATAGTGAGACCTTGTCTCAAAGAACAAAACAAAAGAAGACAAAAACCCCCAAGACAGTCTTCTTTAAAAAGCATGCCTACTAGTGGCATTTGAATAGTATCTCACTGGAATGCATTCTAACTTGTAAGCATTTTTCCTGTTGTTGAATATTAGGGAGTTGTTTCAGTTTTAAATATCCTAAATAGCATCACTAATCCTTATTTATAAATTTTAAGGCAAAAGAGGATTTTTTTTTAAATTTTTTTTTTAATTTTTATTTATTTGAGAGAGAGAGAGAGAGAGAGAGAGAGAGAGAGAGAGAGAGAGAGAGAGAGTGGTGTGTGTGTGTGGCCAGCTCAGCCCACCAGGGGGCGGGGCTGGCTGGCATGTGGTGCTGGGGGATTGAACCGCGGTCCCTGATGCCTTGCCAAGCTTGTTCTAAGTAGGTGCTTTAGACCACTGAGCCATCTCTCCAGCCCCCAAAAGAGGATTTGGGAGCAAACTGTATTTTGAAAATCCGCACGTACTTCTTTGCTCAGTCTTTTGCGGTGTTCTAAGGCTGCTTTGCCCTGGGAAGTATGCTGTGTGTTTGGTGGCCCCGAGGTCAGTTTTTTTGTGGTGCTGTGGTGTGAGACTTGGCAAAGAAGCCAAAGTCTCCCTTGAGGCCCGATGTAATAGCTTCTTTTGAGTGCTGAGGAAAAGATTGGGATTCAGCGTTTTAAATTTGTGGAAGGAGATAGCAGAGTGCTCTTGCCTTGCTTTACTACCTCGGTACAAACAAAATCCAGTCACAGAAGAAGGTAACTTTCACATGCTATTACTTTTTTTTTTTTTTTACAGACCCTATTGGGATGATTCATACACTTCACTGATGCTACACACACTGAGGCAGGAGGATCACTGCAAGTTCAAGGCCAGGCTGGGATACGTACTGAGTTAAAGGCTAGCCTGAACTATATAGAGAGGCTCTGTCTAGAAAGAAAGAAAGAAACAAACAAACAAACAAACTAACTAACTAACTAACTAAAAGTAAGCACACATACACATACTGATGCTACACACACTTCACTCAGTTTAGTGGCTTTTAGTTTATAGACTTAAGCAACTAGCGCAGTAATCTAATTTTAGGATATTTTCAGTCCTGTTTCTTCATCCTAAGAAGAAACTGTGCACCCATTAATAGTTATTTCCAGCCGGATTGGTGGTGCATGGCTGTAATCCTTGTGCTTGAGAGATTAAGGCAGAAGAATTGCTGTGAGCTCCAGGCCAGTCAGGCTGTATAGTGAGTGGAATACCTAGTGAGAACTTATCTCAAAACAACATGGTCACTCTCCATTCCCTCTCCTAGGGGCTGGGGAGATGGCTCAGTGGAATAAGTGCTTCCATGGCAAATGCAAGGCCTGAGTTCAATCCCTAGCTCCACCAGATTACAGACGTGCACTACCATGCCTGGACTCTGTCACCAGCTCAGTGCGCCCAAGGACGGGGCTGGTGAATGTGGTACCAGGGATGGAACCCCAGTCCCTGTGCTTGCATCTTCCTGTCTTAGCCTCCTGACTGCTAGGGTCATGAGTATGTGCCACCATACCTAGCTTACTTTTAGTTAGTTAGTTAGTTTGTTTCTTTCTTTCTTACTTTCTTTCTAGACAGAGCCTCTCTATATAGTTCAGGCTAGCCTTTAACTCAGTATGTATCCCAGCCTGGCCTTGAACTTGCAGTGATCCTCCTGCCTCAACTTTCCGAGGGCTAGAGTTGCAGGTGTGTGCCACCATACTTGGCTTATTTTTATTTGCTTGATTGTCTTTTTTGCAGTATAAATTTTAGAAAATTTTGATTAAAGCCCAGTTACTCTATTGTTTGGTGTGTGGTCTGTTACTTTTGATGTCACAGCCAAGAAGTCTTTGTCTAAGCCAAGGATGTAAGGCTTTATGTATGTCTTTTCCTCTGTGAGTTACAGTTTGCATTCTGACATTCTAGGTCTGTGATCTACATGAGTGAATTGTTGTGTATGGTTTAAGAGAAAGGGATTTGTCTTTAGCCTTCACATGTAGGTGTCTCAGACCATATTTTCAACTATTGAAAATTTTGATACAAAAAATTAGATTACAGCGCTAGTTGTACAAGTCTATATTTTGATATTTGAAAATAGTTGAAAATTTGAATATTTGAAAAATATTCAAATAGCTGAAAAGACTATTTTTCCCCCTACTGACTTGTTCCAGCACCCTTATTAATGTTTATTTTGTAGATTCCTTATGGATAATACTATAAATCTTTCAATCTGTGCTAATTTTGCCTCAATAGTAAAGGTTTTGGGCTGGTGAGATGGCTCAGTGGTCTAAAGCACCTACTTAGAACAAGCTCAGCAAAGCACAGGGACCGCGGTTCAATCCCCCAGCACCACATGCCAGCCAGCCCGCCCCCTGGTGGGCTGAGCTGGCCACACACACACACACACACACACATAAATAAAATTAAAAAAAAATAGTAAAGGTTTTAAAACGTTTTACTTTAAAGAGACAAATATTTGGCAGGCTTTTAGAATCCTTAAAACTGGATCCTGACCTTGCCTAGTAAAATACTGATAACCCGGTGTGCTCTCCTCGGTAGGGACATCCAGCGGGCTCACAGAGTGGTGGCTGAGCTTCAGGCGGGAACGTGCTACATTAACAACTACAATGTCAGCCCGGTGGAGCTGCCCTTTGGTGGCTATAAGAAGTCAGGTGAGGAGCTGGCCAGGGTGACAGCAAACCAGCTGTGGGGGTGGGGGGAGACAGTGTCCCCAAACCTGCCTGTGTGGAAGAGTACTGGAGGCCCTGGGTGTGGAGGCCAGGCACCTCTAGAAGGTTCTGATATGGTTGTAAAATTGCTGACATGCATCTCAAAAAGCTTCTTCATGGAGTGAGAGTCTGTGATTACCATGAACATGAAACCACTCCTGCAGGAGTTCTATGTCTAGCATTGTCCATCAACAGGGTTTAAGTATAGTGTCTCTAAAGCAATGTCCTGGAAAGCTTGGATTAGTTTGTTTTCTCTGTTAGGCCAAATTAGTAATAGTCTCTCTCTCTTTCTTTTTAGTAATAGTCTCTTAATTTAACATTTTACAATCAGTTACAACCATCACTGTCCTAGAGGGTGATCATGGTAATGTTCCCTCCTTCATGGTCACATGTGAGCTAAGTGTGACAGACATGTATATCTGGCCTGTCAGCAGGTGGGGGCAGCAGGAATGGAGCTCCTTCCTCTGAAGTCCATTGCCTGCAGGTGCCTGTAGTTGCCATATCACTCTTCATGTGGACCCAAACTGGCTTGGCCTTTTAGAAGTATCATTGTGCGAATTCAAACCCTGGGCACCGTGCAAATCATTACAGCCATCACAGCGTTGGCGAATGTGTAAATCCTGCTGGACACTGCTGAGATAGATGGTGTGTATTGATTTGACAGCCCCACTTGGCAGTTTGTATTATCCCAGCTCTGCCTACTCATGCTCCACTGGTGTCTCCATGGAGTGCAGAGGGGATGTGCTGAGGAGCTGTGCACACGCAGAGTGCAGGTGGAAGCATGGTGCTCTGGAATTCAGGTCTCACTTTCTGTGTAGGGAAATTCTGCTTAGAATCTGCAGCTCAGGCCCTGGTGGGATTGGGGTGGGGTATCCCAGGCCAACTTCATTTCCCTTTGGACCAGGCCTGCATTGAAAAAGGAAGACAAACAGCCAGATCTGTAGAACCATGCCTGCCCTGGCCTGCTAACCAACCATGCTCAGAGACTTAGCAAGGAGCAAGGGAGAGCTAGGTCTTGCCCAGACCTTTGTGTATATTCTCTTTTTGGATGGCGCCCACAGAAGTGTGCACTTTGGGGGACCTGGCTTTGCCTGCCTCAGTCTGGGGAAGTACAGGAGACAGGACTAGCATGGGATGCTGTCCCATTATCACAGTGACTCTGTGTACTCAGATGGGACAGTGTTGTCAGAGGAACCTCAGGGAGCCCTCCCCATTGTAGCAGGCAGGATGAGCTCGGTTTTAAATTGGCACCTCCATTCAAGGCCAGAAGGTTGATAGTTAGAGAGACTGATTTAATACCAGATTATCTAACAACAACAAAAAAGAAAGAAAGAAGAAAAAGAAATCCAAACATTTAAAAAAAATCTTTACCCAGAATAGTGGACACCTAAAATTCGGTCACATAGCTAAGAAATGAGACCTGTGTATTTTCCTGTCCTGGTCCCCAGAGACCAGTGGGTCCTGCTTCCCATGCCGAGCCCCACAGTACATGGATGGAGGGCATTGCCCTAATTGAGGTCATGGGTCCCTTCCCGCCCACCCTGAGAAGCTATGCCTATCTTTGAGGAAGACTGACATTTCAGGCAGTTGTAGCAATGGCTCATCCTGGCCCCTTCTCTTCCTTTCAGGATTCGGCAGAGAGAATGGCCGTGTGACAATTGAGTATTACTCACAATTGAAGACTGTGTGCGTGGAGATGGGTGATGTGGAGTCTGTTTTTTGAAGCCAGGCTGTGCGATAAGGAGAGGCTCTCTTGACCAAGCAGGATAACTGAGGATCATTTCCAAGCCAGATTTTGGTCATTGAGATTTAAAAAGTGGTTTGATAGTGTTCTTCATCTTTCTGTCACCATCTTACCTGAAGATGTGCCTAAGTACCTTTCAAACAGTAACCAAGGCATTTGTGAGTTGTGATTTTCCTGACATCAGATTTCCATGTAAGCTTTAACAGTTAACAACACACTTCCAGAGAACAGATAGAGTTTAACAGGTAGAGCATAACCAGGATCATACTTTATCCACACAGCTGGCCAAGTGACAGTGTTAATTCTCTAGGTAAGGAACTTTTTCCTTCGTAGTTTTCTAGAAGAATCAGTAGAGATGATTTCTACTCATTGACTTTTTTTCTCTTATTTTTCCTTTGAGAAGGCTGATGACTGGGATAGAGAAGGGATTAGGCAATTGACAGGATCAGATTCTGCATGGTCTGAACTTGCTGCAGTGAGCACTCTGATCCCATTCCACTGCGATGGAGGAAACGTACCAGTGTTGGAACTGCAGTTTGCCGTCTTACAGTGCCTGTTAAATGCATGTACAAATCATTTGTATGCTAATTAGTATAGTGAAAATAAAATTATGTTATTAATCCTTCTCTGTGTTTTGAAATTTAACACATTTTAAAACTAAAGTAGGACAAAGGCTAAAACAGAGGGATCTTGTTTGCCATGAGTGTGAGGGGTGGGGGTGGGGTTGCAGCTCTACTCCTTTTTCTCCATGTGACAGGCAGTGTCATCCTGAAAAGCTGTCAGATCCTTAGGACTTTTCTGGCTGTGTAGTAGTGCTTATCTCCACTTCCCTCTTTCTCCTTTTAGGAGAATGAATAATAATTGTGTTATGGCTTATATAGATGTCCTGGAAAGCTCCTTGGGGTTAGAGATGGGCCTTTTTGGAGGTAGCTGGATCTAGGGAGGGTGAATGTGGGTTAATGTTGTGATCCCTGAATTAGTCTTCCAATGGGTTTAGCATTGTTCTGGGTGTGGATAATGGGAAAACCCACCGTGGGGTTGGGTAGCACCAACCACAAGGCTTTCAGCTTGGATGGGATAAAAGAAGGGAAAGGTAGGCTTGCTTTTGCTGCTTCACTGCTTGCTACGGTGTGGGTGTCAACCTTCAAGGCCAGAAGGTTGATAGTTACAGAGACTGATTTAACACTTAGCAGACTATTGGTCTCTTGGTAGTCCCTGGGAGAAAGTGGCAAGATGATTTAGAAAATAAAGACAAGAGATAATAGATGAGGTCAGGCGGTGGACCACGCCTGCTAGGCAAAGGCCCCCAGAACAACTGTAGGGATGTTTATTTGTACCTTTGCAAAGTTACAAGACAAAGATGCCTAGCAACTAATAGCCACAATGTCCAGGAGGATGCTTTTCTCAAGACTGAGGTAGCTTGACTGCTTTAGGCAATGAGGCCTCATCCTGCCCTCCCACGTGTGATCAATTTCCAGCTTCAGTGGCTCTGGACCCTACTGCTGCTTCCTACCTTCCCTGCTGTGAACTGTTTCTTCTCTGCTCTTCCCTGCTCTGGTACTCTTCCTTACAACCAGTCAGCTTTTGACTGAAACCTCTATAAACTGAGCTGAAATAAACCTTCCTCCTTTAACTTGTAGGTGGTGGGTATTATGCCTCCGCAATGAGAAAAGTAACTAAGACAAATCACTACTGTAATAGAGATACATCATGTCTGTTGTTATGGGGCCTGGATCTAAGTAGATATCAAGATGGGAAAATGCTGTAGTTTTAGAGCTTGGAAACAGTTGAAATGTCCATTCCTGATTTTTTTCTTTTTTGGTACAGAGGACACCTGCTACACCAAGCAAGGCCACAGTGGTGTCGCACTTTAGGAGCAACATGCGCAGTAGGAACCACCTTGGGGAAAATAGGTTTCTGATGGCTCCTCTGCAGCTAGGGGAAGGGAGGCAACATGTGCACGCTCGGGAGTCCCTACTGCTATATCCTATCTCCTTTAATGCTCATAATGACCTTTTTCTTTTACAGTGATCTCAGGTATTTCCTTATAGTAACAGAAAACTGAAATAGAATACCTTTCTTCATATTGAGTTGCATTTCTTGCTTCAGGGCCCCTTTTATTGTCGAAGCCAGTAGTTCAGGATTTCAGGTCTTCCTCTGAATCCCTTGTGGAGGACACTGTGATTGAACTTAGGCCCTGCCTGAGTAGTTCATAATAATTTTCTATTTCAAGATTCTTATTCAGGTACTGTAATGTCATGTACCTCGGTAGTGTCCCAAATTTTCTGATCAAGAAGATTATGAGGCCAAAGAGGAAAGTGATCGATGACGTAGAGTGTGCCTAAGGGGAGTCACATGGGGAGAAGACACTCTCTCAGGCTTTCACAGAGAGCACATTGGCCAAGCAATGGCCGTGACTCATCCACATGGCTGCACTGACAAAGGTTCTACAATCTGAGGTACGGGATCTCAAGATAAATCCTGAGGACATTTCACTGACCTTCTCAGACCAAAAAGCTACAACTCTTGTTGCATAGGTCCTGCTTTACCTCGGTCTTAACCATCCAGTAGAAAAGTATGAAGACGAAATATAGGAAATAAAGCCATGCTGTTATGTTGAGCTGTGGGGGACTCAGGTCAATAATTTCTGACATTGCCAGTTAAACAGAAGACCCAATGCTATTATGGGCTACTGGACTCTTTTAGAATGTTTTGCTGAGTTTACACACCTATAATATTCAATAATGGAACTTAGAAAAAATGGGGTATACCGATGAATGTCCATTTTGTATCTGTGTATTCAAAGTGGTTAGGATAGATATATAGTTGCATTCTCTTAATGAATAGAATGATTTGTTCTAATGGTGTTTGTAAATAGGATCACAAGTCCACTTGTACAGCAATTAACCACTAAGAAGAATATATGCAGTGTATTATTTGTTGAAACTGTACTTCCAATTGGATTTGAAACTGTCTCATTGCTATCTGTTTATCAATAAAACTTTGATTATGTATTAGGCAAACTGAGTCACTCATTTTGTATCAGTATATGTTTGGATGGAACAGCTGACATGACTGAGTAGCTTTCTGGTTTCACCACTTAGGTCAAAGAGGTCACTTCTGAATGTGCATCTACTCATGGTGTCATTTATAGAGACATGCTGGCTAGCTGAAAAATGTCAGTTGGACTTAACATTTTGTGTAATGTGATTAAAATTAGTAATTACATTAAAAAAAATAAAACTTTGAAAAAAAAAAAAGATTCTTATTCACAAGTTTTGCCTGCAATCCCAGTGCTTTGGAGGCTGAGGTAGGAGGATTGCTGCGAGCTCAAGGCCAGCCTGGAATACATAGTGAGACCCTGTTTCAAAACAAAGTTCTGGGAATTAGGATGGAGCTGTATCTGTGGAGACCATTATTCAACCTACCTCACCCCTTCATGGTCCACTGTGTGTTCTAGATGTCATAAACTTTTATAAATTTAAAGATTTAAGCAAATTACCTGAAAAAAAGCTGTCTGTTAACAAAGTGTCTTACAAGAATACAGCCAGACATTGATGTTCATGAGTTTCATATCTGCTGATTGAACATATTTGGAAACTAAACATTGCATCAGGGCAGTGGGAGTGTAGCTCAGTGGTAGAGCATTTGAGCCACATGTGCCAGGCCCTGGGTTTGATCCCTAGCACCACACACAAAAATCCTGCTGAACATTATACAGCTTTTCCTTGTCACTTATTCTGTACACAACACAGCACACCAACTATTTACATAGAATTTGTGCTGTAATAGGCATTGTAAGTTATCTGGAGACGAGAGGATGTGCATGGGTTATATGCAAAGATCTGTACTGTGACATTATATATAAGGGACTAGACCCAGTACCCCAGGAAGCAGTCACATATGGATTGGGTGCTGAGGGCCACTTATAAAACTTAGCATGGACAAAACAGTCTGTTGGTTTTTTGTCACTGGAAAAAATGCCTGAGATAAAAGAGGAAAGATTGATGTGGCTCATGGCTACAGAGGTTTCAGTCCATGGTTGTCTGGGTTTGTAGTTTCTGGGCCTATGGTGAGGCATAGGAAGAAGGGTGTGGTGGAGAACATGGGAAAAGGGTGTGGTGGAGCAAACTCATCTTGTGGCAGCCAGGAAGGGACCAGGGACACAGTGGGCCCTTGGGAGACACACCGCAGGTGACCTGCTTCCTCCGGATAAGCCCACTTTCTAGTTTCTCACCCCTCCCAATGGTCCATTGGATTAATGGATTAATCTCCATTAATCACCAATGGATTAATCTCCAGATGAGGTCAGAGACCTTCCATCCAGTCACCCACAAAGGCCCTGACTCTGAACACTGCTCCATAAGGGACCACACAAATATTTGGGGGAAGCGTTGTACCCAAACCATAAGACACTGAGGGAAACACTGACTTAACCAAGAGACCACATCTTCCTGTGTTTGGGAAGTTGTGTCATCCAGGTAATTTCTTGGGGAATGTCTTTTTTTTTTTTTTTTTTAACCCCTCTACTGTGGTTTTGATTTACTTTTTTTGTTGTTTTTCCGAGACAAGGTTTCATATTTGAAGCTATCTAAACTCACTGTGTACTCGAGGCTTGCCTTGAACTTGTGGCAGTCCTCCTTCCTCAGTCTCCTGAGTGCTGGGGTTGTAGGTGTGTGCCACCATACCTAGCATTTGATTTT